TTCTCTCTTTTGTTTTTCTTTTAACTAGTTAGGTGTTTCTTCTATCCAGATGGCCCCCATCTTCCCTCTGTTGCCTTCTTTGTCACTTTAGATCTTGATTCTGAACAAGCAAACAGTTTGAAATTTGGGGATATGGGTAGTTGAGATGAGGACACAAAAGCTGAATATTATTGACAATCACTAAGATTAGGGTGACCACTTAGATTTTGTACGAGGGCGATTTAGTTAAGCTACTCTAGTTAACCCTTTTGAAAATCAATTCTAGTAGTCAATAATTGACCCCATAAAATGCTAGTAGTAGATTAATCGTTGGAGGAATTTATTTGAGGGGCAAACATCAATCTACTTTGGGTTTGATATTATTATCCTCCGACGGACATAAATGGCTCTAACTGGAGGATAAGGAAATGAGAATACCACCAGGTTCTTTAGGTTATGACCCACTTGAAAACCTAGACCATAGCACCGCCACCCATCATCACCATCATATTCAGCATCCCGAAGACCAGCTGATTCACCAAGAGAAATCTTCCCGAGGCCCCGGTGCAACTGCAGCTGCACTGAGTTCAGGTGGATCTAAATCCAAAACTCCAACTCCCACAGCTGGAAGAAGTCATAGCACTAGTAGTACTAGATACCGCGAATGCCTCAAGAACCACGCTGCTAGCATTGGCGGAAATGTTACAGATGGTTGCGGAGAATTCATGCCCAGCGGTGAAGAAGGAACCCTCGAGGCCTTCAAGTGCGCTGCTTGTCACTGCCACCGCAACTTCCACCGCAAAGAGTCCAGTGGAGACGGTGCAATTGTGGTGCACCAGCTCCCACTTCCGCCGCCGCTGCCCTCTCCGTCCATGAACCAACATCGTGGGGAGTCCATGAACGTGCACGCTAACCACTGGACTACTATGGTTCAGCCAGTGAAGATGGCTTTTGGAGGTGGGAGTGCAAGTGCAGCCACAGATTCTTCAAGTGAGGAGCTGAATTTCAACGCCTACCAGTCAACATCAGTTCCTCCACCCCCGCAGTTTGTTCTTGCAAAGAAGAGGTTTCGGACTAAGTTTTCTCAGGAGCAGAAGGATAAGATGCTGGCATTTGCCGAGAAGCTCGGATGGAGGATTCCAAGGGAAGATGATACTGAAGTGCAAAGGTTTTGCACTGAGGTTGGAGTGAAAAGACAAGTTTTTAAGGTTTGGATGCACAACAACAAGAATTCTGCCAAAAAGAACCCTCAAGAATCATAAATAAACGTTTTAAGGGGAATGCAGTGTAGTGGGATTCCTAGATTTATCTCGAGTATATTAGGTGATGTAGAATGGGTGTGGGTTTTTGTATAGGGAGAGTAGTAGAGATGAGAGATGGATTACGGGCTCCTGAGTTTCTCTTCTTTTTCATTAGTTAAGATTCATGTATGCTTTTCTGGGGATCGATCGAGGTGCCTTTCTCTTACTTATTTTTATTATTTTTTTTTGGGGGTTCAAGTTATTAAAGTTTCTCTCTAGCTAGCATATTATTACCAAGAACTTGGTCTTAATTTCTTGTGCCATTTCCTTTGCATCTTTTGTGTTTCTTTTGCAGTCCGATGGTCCTTAAATTCTTGTACGTTCTAGAGGTTGGGGAGAGAAGACCAGCTCCCCAACCAAGTCCTATACATGTTCTTCATTAGTACCCCTTTTTTTCTTTTTCTTCTTTCTTTATTAGTAATTATTATGGTTGCTTTTTCCACTTGTCAGTTCTCGATTCAGATTTTATTTTCCAAGAGGCCTATCAGGCAAGGTATAAATCTGTTAACGCCTGAACTCCCACTACTTCATTGGACATGCTTTTGCCTTTTGCACTTGAGTTGGCTGTCTTTAGCTTCCATCCCTTGGTTGATATTTGATGCAAAAGCCGGCTACCATATGATCTAGTCTTTTTACGCCAGTTCTTTACCTATTTTATTTTTAGGTGAACAACAAAAGAAAATGTTTTGTAGGCATTGCATGTCGATTTCTTTGACCTCCAAGCTTGATACAACCATTACCGTGTCATTGCATAATATTGGTGCTTGCAAGTTGGAGCTTTTTGTACACGTCCGGCGTAGAACAGAGGCGGGATACAATGATAATTGAAGTTAATCATTCATGCAAAAAAAGGGGGTTTAATTCTTAGGTGACAAATATTTGCAATTCTGCATATCTAATACGGATTGTATGAACTTGATGCCGATAAACGAGTACTGTGTTGCTTGCAGATGCGGGTTTCAGTTTATAGGCCATGGAAATAAAGGCAAGGCGTGTGCTAGTGATAACTGCCGATGTCCCGAGATATATAATTCAGAGTTTAATGAGAGAAAAGATGAAAACAAAAACCTCTGAATGAGAGAAATTGTTCAATTTTTTACCAACTAGCTCTAACATGACCCGGAAAGCAGCACCATCACCAGGATTGAAGATCAGTGCTGCGGCTGGCTGGCTGGCTGAGTTGCATGGATCTGTCGAGAGAAGATTAAGGTTCGTTCCGTTTGTTTGGGACTGCGATGACTCGTAAAGAAATATCTCTGATACAAGTACTTCTAGCAAATTATCAAAAATTGCGTTTCTTAAATTACGCGAAATTAATTATCAAATGCCTGCTTAAAAGCGCCGAAACCGAAGAGGGACAGACAACCTAGAGAAAGGCTGCACTTCATTTGACCAAACAAGCCCACTCCTTATGGTAATATTTCGAAGTCGGCCTAAACAATGATGGGTCAGTGAGTTGCGATTGGCAACTGTGGGTGGACTCATTTCTTGGCCCGGTCTCATTCTGAGCCTTATTTGTTATTCAGTTCTTGTGGAGTCTCCCTCAAACGGGAAAAATATATTTTTTACTTTTTGGAAGTCTTCAATTCAAAAGAATGGATGTAATATCTCCGAAATACTACTAATTATGGTTTCTGAGTAAAAGGCAAATGATCGAGGTTAGCAAAAAGTGACTGATACATTTATTTTAGTATTACGTTTGCTAAAAAAGTGGTAGTCCCATTTTGTCATGGAGAACAAAGGCTCCAGGAGAGAATAATTATAGTACACATTTTGTCATGGAACTGAAATGTTTCCTTTCCCACTTCACTTCCTTCATCGCCAAGAAGTACGAGGATATGTGTTGGCTGAGAGACGCAAGCCATACCAGTAGTACTGCCTCATTCATAAATCATACTACTAACTCCTTGGTCCTCTCCTCCCCGACCAAACCAACCAAAACCTACCCATGGCTTCATCTGACGAGCAATTTATATCCCACACATACGTACGCCACCCTTTCAAAGTCTCGATCTCCTCATCCGCCTTTTTATCAAAGTCTCAATCTCCTCATCCGCCTTTTTATCATCTGATCGTGCATCTTCTTCCTGGAAAAGACCAGGCATTATTCTTCCATAAACCAACAAGTTGTCTTTTGCTCATCACCCCAGTAAATGACACTCACTCAGTCCCCCATGCAAGTGGAACCCCTCGAACTTATCTAATCTTTCGACTTCGCGAGTCGCGAGTGACCATGCATGACCCACCTGGCCCACATTGACTTAGATCTTCCGTCCGCATTGGCCACAAACAACCTGTATGTATAGGATAGCATGGCATTTTCCGGGACCCCACCAACGAACTTCAACCAGCCATCATTGCAATTCATGAATTGTGAGCTTTGGCTCCTTTTGGCCCGGGGTCAAGGGTGGTGGTGCGCCGTGCATCATTGGAATTTTAAGTTGTGGGCTCTTAGCTCGAGCTCGAGCTGAACTCGATCGATCCAAACGGTCAAATATCCCCTGCGATTGCACCTGCAGAGAACTCGAATATTCCTGCTTTTGCACCTCAGCGTCACGATGGGCGGCGTAAATGGAGCCATAGATTTAATTGCGGTTTATGATATATGGGGAGGAAGGAATGTATGGCGGTTTGCTTGCTGTCCTCTGATGATGATGATGATGATGATGTTGTGTGGTGAACAGGGGAAGTCATTAATTTGATGGTTTGAGCTTTTGCGCCAGCCTGCGGTAGAAGAGGGTTTGCTTGTCCAAATTGGATGGTCGTCTGACTATGAATGCTGAAATTGATGATGACAACAATTGTGATGTTGCTGATAAAAAAAAAAAAAAAAAAAAAAAGAAAGTCTGGACCACTATCATTTGCCCCAAAATGGGGCGGCATTGTAACATTAGTTGTAGACTTGTACTAGAAAACAAGTGTATATTGACAACAATTTCACATCGCCAACTATATTTATGTATGGTAGTAAATTAACAAAGCGTATTGACAACAATTTCACATCGCCAATTATATTTGGCAATTAGTCAATAATTATATTCCGGAAAAACAAAAATACAAATACAGGCCAGCTGCTTTTGTAGAAAACAAGGCAGCTAACGCGCTCGCTCGCAGGACGAGCCGGAAAAGTCCTCTTCCTAAACCCTCAGCGTCGTACGAGAACATCAGCAAATCTATGTTAACTGTCATGTTTGAGGTACAAGTATGACGGACGGACCGACACCAAAGGGGATGTAGCTCAGATGGTAGAGCGCTCGCTTAGCATGCGAGAGGTACGGGGATCGATACCCGCATCTCCACCTGGGATACCTATTTTCCCTTTGAAGCTTTTGTTATATACCAAAATAACGCCGCCAAAACAGCATCTTCTTATCGAACGCAAGAGCCAACTGCCAAGAGCTTCTTCAGTCAAGTCAATTCCAACGTAGTGTAGTGTAGGCGTAGGTCTACTTGCTGCCTAATTTGCGCACCAAATTCCGTGATTCTGTTTTTATGTAAGCCTAAATTTTCCTGCCCTTTTCGCATCTTTTAATGGCTTACAACTGTACCGTATCCTCCAAAGGACTTCTTCCTCTGGTGAAGATGACGGTCGAAGCCCATCTTATCATTTGATCAGTATATTCTGCACTCTGCTTTTGATTGGGTTTTTTTTTTTGATCATTGTTCTGTTAGAATTTCAAATACCGGACAAAGTTGTTATAGTTATACAACACAGAAGAAAAGAAGAAGAACAAGACTGCATTAACGTAGACGTAGATAGATAATAGTAATACACATGATGCCTTTTGCACATTTGGCAGTTCCGTTTTGCGCAGCTGGGACCTATCTATTTTATAGTTAAACACTTGCTACGTACAGCTGAACAGAAGACAAAAACACCACAACACAAATTCAGGATTTCTGAATGAAGCATCTGCTTTTTCTTACACCGCATTTCTGACTGCACTGTGCCTTGATATGCTCTAAGTTTTGAACTCTACTGTAGCTTTAGATTCTTCAAAAGCCTGTCCAAGAAAACAGCTTAATTAGCGAAATAAAAAATGCCTGTCACGTAGTGTGTGTGGTGTATGTATGTATGTATGTATCGTAGTCGTTCTTAAATGTCTTATTATTGAACAATACTCATTCTTACTCCTCACGCCATCATCCAGAATTGGGTACTGGAAGAAAGAAAGTTAGAATGAGGTCGGACAATAAAAGAGTAAGAATTAATTTTCCCGGTACATATACTAGTAGCTGGCGACCTTTCTAATTGCGTATAAACTTTCGGCCCGCAAGATTAATAGATTGACCTCATCTGTCTCTTTATCCTGCGATATCTTCTTATCTCTAGGTCAAACCACCAATAAACTATTAGGAGGGAGAGACAGCATATTCACCACATTATTTAACTGTTCAGATAAAATTTTAAATTTCCTCGGGAAAGGTTAATGTCTCAAAAATGTCGTACAGCTAAAAGAAAGTCGTTATCTTGGGTTACAGAAGAATACGATGTATGGCAAACCAAATTAAACTTTGTTATTGTCAGCACGAAATTAAACTGCCATTAACCTATGTATATATGTTTTCCGTATGGTGAGGTGGCGAATTTGTGGAGTAGGACCATGTGCATGTGCTCCAAAACGAGTAAGATTAAATTTCATGTGGATTCTTGTAGGAAACCTGAACCAATTACGTAGATGTTAATAAAAATATCAAGAAATCAGGTAGGCTGGGGTAATCTGTTTGCTTATCTATTTATTTGAACGGATAGTCTTTGGAGACAATTCTTAACTTTACCAGAAATGGAACACTTGGCCAAAAAAGCAACCAGAAGATTATAACAATGCATGTCTTATTGTTGATATCTAGGGACATATTGCTTGTATTGACAGTATTCCATTTGGCTTAGATGATGGAAACGTATCATCCTGTTTTTTTTTTTAAATTAATTTTAATCTGAATGCGCTTGTCATGCTTCAACAATGAAACGAAGGAAGCGGTTGAACTTAATGTGGAAAGAATTCAAGCTTAAAACAACATAGCGAGAAGTTGTAACTAGTAATTAATTACCATGAGTGATTTTTTCAAGAAAGTGAATGCAATGAGCGAGCTCAAAGATTCAACACATAATTGAGATGCATTACGATGCAGATTGCATGGAGAATACCTGGAAAATGTGCAAGGGGGGGGCAAGAACATCAATGATCAGGAATTACCTCTGCTCGTTAGCATATCCTCTGCCATTGCTTGCCATGGACCTGTAGTTAGGCAAGGGAACTTGGTCTGACTCTATTTGCATGATGTCCTTTACAAGGACCTCATAGTGTCTCCTGACTTCCTCTTCTGATTTTCCACCCACGGCCCTGGCGATGTTATACCAGCGATCAGGAGTGTCCTTGTCATAGGTAGCCAAGGCCTCCTCAAATTGCTTGTTCTGCTTTGCAGTCCAGGACTGAGAAGAGCTGCGCGAAGATGTCATGGAACTGGATGCCATTGCAGACTGAAGAGAGTAGGAGACTTGGTTCCAAGTATATATAGATGGAATTCTCCGAGGAATACTCCAAAAGACGAAGGCAAGAAATGGGATTATTATGGGTTGAAACCAAAAAGGGGCAAGGGAAAAAGACTTGGAAGTCAGAGAGGATGTTATGGAGAAGCAAGTTCTATTCTTCTAGCTCCTTATAAACTGGAGGCAAAGCTCAAAGGTGGTGGGTTGCAGCAAGTTGGAGAATAAATGGTTTTTCTTTTTTTCTTTCTTTTTTTTTTTTGGGCAAATTTCTATTGGAGATGGAGAGAGGTAGAGACCAAGATGGGGATTCGCGTGCTTAGGAACCACAACATGCCGCAGGGCCAAGAGGGCGAAAGAGGTGGAGGAGAATACATGAAGGGCATCGGAAGCCAAAGCTTTTTTTCCAAATCGTGAAAAGTCATTTTCTTGTCTTTTATAATATCATCAGCAAGTGGATTACCTGAGGAGCTCACTCCCAGCTGTGTGGATTAGATCCCCAAATTCCTAACCTACTAATTAAGATAGAAGTGTCGACAACAAGGGAATCAAACTTGGGCCCTTTCCCTCTTCTTCTCCAAACCACCCCCCCCCCCCCCCAAAAAAAAAAAAGGGGGGAGATTGTAGGTCGGCAAGTAAAATCACATTTATTATTATTAAAGCATTATTAATGGTATACCATCTCTTTTGTATTATATGGAACATGTATCTCCAAACCTCATGATACTTATACGTGGTCAAGTTTAGATTGTTCCATCTAAAAACCAATTGACAATGAACCTTGGCTGGAATTCCTTCACATATTGATATGGGACATTTTGTCTATTAACAACTATCACTTATATTGATAGTAAAACCATATGAAATTGTCACAAAAAACGTGTACGGGGAAAAGAAATGTAAACGTCTTCTATTTGTTCTGACATAATTTGGTACTTCTTGGATAGCACTTCTCTATACCAATGCCAGTATATTGGAATTGGAGGGCAATCTTGTTTTTCTTTTTGGTCAATGATAGAATACTTCACCTTATATTTGTCTACATCTTCTAACCAGTGAGCATATGTCTAAAGACAGTGCATCCATAAAGGGATGGAGAGATAAATGGAACTCTTATCTTATCTTGTCCATCCATATATGTTATCTTCTTAAATACTCAACCAGAATACAATTTCTTGGCATTTTAATTTTCAAGTTTGGCTAGTATTTGCAGGAGCTGTTGTCCTGCAGTTGCAGAAGAAAAATTAAGATATTACACGTAGCCGCTCCTTCTTTGAAATATGGTTTATCTTTCCCTCAATTTCTCCGTGATTGGTGCTTGTATTGGTTACTCGGACTTGGAAATGGTGTTTTATCATGTTTTGAGCAACATTCCAAGAGCTTCAGTCCAGAGTTTGCTCCAGTGATGGAGTTTTTTGTTTTTCTCCTCTGATCAGCTGAGGTAACAGGCTGCAGCCCTTACACAAGTTGGACAGCCGCAGGTTGATGTCATCTGCCTATTTTTTTATCATATCTAGAAATGGGATGTTAGCTTCTCCCCTATAATTCAGCAAAACCCTCAACACTTGAAGCGAAATTTCAGTTTCTTACTGATATTTTTACCTGTATATCATATACTTTGTCCTTTTGTAGAGCTATTTTAGCAACCTTCGACCGTTGGACGTTGGTCTCAGACAGAACTGTGAAAGAATTAACAATTAGCATGACCGGACCAATGAATGACACTCTACTGTTACTCTTACATTTGCTTGCTTTTTGTGATTCTTGAAATCTAATATGGGCACAGGAGGTCCAGTGTACCTGACGGTGCTATCCTGCTTTTAAGTACCAGTTCTTGCCTTTGCCCCTCAATCTGATCAGGATCCACCTTAGATTCGTTTTACTGTGATCTCCATTGTCTAGCTACATTTCTGCTTAAACTGGAATATGATTCCGTACTATGCTAAGTTGATCACGAGCAATATAGCATTAAATCTAAGATGCGACCTCAGTTCTAACTGCATGAATTGACACAGTACTTCAATAACTAAATTCAACAAGACAATTAGAATTTTGTTACGTTGCTGTTAAGCAAGTGTTTCCGCATTCCATAAACAAGATCACCTCATATACACGTCTTTGTGCTGGAGATGGCGGGTGGTCATTGCACAACTTGTAGTAGTAAATTTGGTAAGTTATGTTAATCCTTTCCTGAGATTCTTTGGCTTCTGTTGAGAAAGATATAAGGGCATCAGAAAAGTGAGCAGATTGGATTTGGTATCCTGATTAGTTAAGCTCAGGTGCCTCATATATGCTTGCCGACCAGGGAGATAATAAATGGTACACTGCACATTGCAGGTCCTGTTTATTGTGATTGCTGATGATTGAAGCGACTGTTCTAGTGGAAACGTTTGGGCCAATTGGACCGATTTAATAGATGCTAGATTTCTTAAGACTGATGGATCAAAATCGAGATGTAGAAGAGTTACTCCTTGAAGCTGAAGGTGATCGCATCTTGAGTGGACAAATCCTCATTAAGCTGTATTTTTTTTGTTTTTTGTTTTGTTTGTGGTGTGGGGGGGGGGGGGGGGGTGTGTGTGTGTGTGGTGATCTTCTAGGCTAGAAATTCGGTTCTCTTGACTGGAGCCTCCGAGTCGACTTTCAAAGTTCTGAAATTTCTCTTTCTGAGCGTCAGCTTTCAAAGGCGTGGTATTTTGACAATACAACGCAAGCACCTTTAAATCACAATTGGATTCTTGATGATCTTGACAGCAGCCTAATCCCGCCTAGACGCCCATAAGAAGAACAAGTCAATTCTCATAACAACCAGGCTCATACGTGGTCATGTTCGACTTTTTTTTCTTTTGGGATAAAATAAAACATACGACAGAATCAACAAAAGAAGGTGGATCTCACCACCACATCTCAGAATCAGCTGCAGACTCAGCCAATTTATGAGCCACTAATCTCTTTATCCAACCTTAGCTTAACGAATGAAACCGACTCTTTGCTAGTTGCATATCACAAATCACATGATAGCTATATCTGTGGTAAACCGAACCATAAAATGACTATGTGCCCTGAGTGTAACCAGCAGAGAGCTTCTTCTGCACTGATGTCTTCACTAAAATCTTGACTCTAGTCCATTAAAGAGATAACCAGTTAGATAGCAAAGTATTTCCTAGTAACTTGGTGTTCCCCTCAAGACTACTTTCAGTTCAAGACAATTGATTCATGTAGACATCTTAACATAATATTGGGATAACAGACTTTAGCGTACAGGCAATTCTCTGTTGGAAAACCAGGATTCTTGCTCTCCATTCTGATAGGACGTTGCATTTATAAATGATAGCCCTTTAACGACACCAAAAGAAATTATTGTTCTGTTTTTTCTGTTCTAGGGAAGAGGGTTGGCTGCAGTTAGAATCCCAACTGCTGACCACATGTACTGTGGAGGCCAATTGTGGATTGTCCACCTCGGCAACCCCGCAACCTTAGAGGTGTGTTAGGATGGTACCGGACTAGCTCAATGGGTACTCCCGGTACCATCCTAACACGGCAACCCCGCAACCTTAGAGGTGTGTTAGGATGGTACCGGACTAGCTCAAGGTACTCCCGGTACCATCCTAACACACCTCTAAGGTTGCGAGGTTGCCGAGGTGGAAAATCCACAATTGGCCTCCACATGTGCCATTATATATGCAGATGTTCAAGACTTTTCTGTAGCCACTTTTCTTGTTTTCCTCTCGAGGGCCGTGATACATGTATATATGTTATCACTGATGAGAGAGGTCGACATCCAACTCCAGACTTTTATTTGTGGATTATGATCCAGCTCGCTAGGAGCCTAGGACCATTATGAGGAACTTCTGAAAATGAAATCAAGCAATTGAGAGACAATGAGATCTCCATGGTCGCCGTTTACTGTGCGGGGGAACATGGGAAATTCTCCAAAATGGGAGGAAGGGGTGGAATTCCCTTTTTAGACCACTTGCTAATTGGGTCCTGCGGTTTTGAGTTCCTGCCCACATGCAGGGTGGAGGGCCCTTCTCTTTCGCACAGGTAATATTCAGGAAAATTTGAGATAGGAATCTGCAATGCAGAATGCGTTTGCTCCCTTATATCAAGAATCCTTATCATCTTTAATCCTTTAGATTTTCTCCCTTTTTACCTTAGGAACTGGTGTGATCTTCGGCCCAAGATCCCCTCCGTATGATTGGAAGTTTGGTTATAAGTTACAACAATTGGAGGATGTTTGCGGGAAGCCTTTATTCAAAAGTCAGAATTCTAGTGATATGGTGCTGATCCGCTTTTAGTTGGATTAAGTCCCTCTTTCTTGTATGATACCATGCTCGCAAGAATGCGTAGCATTGCAAAAACCTCAAAAAGACGACTTTCTCACGTGCAGGAGAAGTCCAAACTTACCCCGAAAACGTGGTCCATTGATGGTGAGATATGCCAAGAAAAGCTTGAATGCCACACTGCAAGAGAATCTCTGAAAAGAAAGGGGAATTTTTTATTTGGGAACAAAGATCTCTAATGGTTGAATCAACACACAAGCTAAAGGGATATTTTGGTGATGAAATGTTCCAAAAGATAAGGAGATAGAAAAAATATGATGATGTTTGTGAACCAACCTTTGCGGTGGTAGACATTCTTTCCTTTAGCAGATGGGACGTCAATTTAGTATCGCACAATAAATAAAAACGTTAGTTAATTAGAGGTCAGTGGAAGTTCTCCTGTCCCTCGTAAAGGCCTCTTGTCTCTTGGGGTCAAACGTGTGTGCTGTTCAATATTTGTGGTTGCACATATAACATATATATATATAACTTGGGCCCTCTTCACTTGTACTCCATCAAGAACTGAGAATTATGTTTCTCCGATTTTTGCTTCTTCCATTTCCTTTGATGGGAAGTTAAATGGACTCCAAAAACTTTAGGGCATCAACCTAGTTTCATTTCACAGAGTCTTTTACCCCCCCCCCCCCCCCCCCCCCACACAAAAAATGCAAAAAAAAAAAAAAACCTCTCTGTGACAAAAGTTTTAATCAAGCATTGTCATGATCACTCTTTTTACACGATAATTAAATGTATGGTATTTGTTTTCAGTCAAGAAAAACTCCAAGTCTTTCAAAGGAGAAGG